CTTTTTGTGATCTTAAAGATTAGCTTATACCAAGTTTCATAACAATCCATCAAAGTTTATAAATTTATCATGTAAAACACATAATAACAGTATAAAACTGAAGAAAAAAATATACTTTTAAAATTTTGCTTCAGACATTATTTCTTAATCATAAAAAAGCTTGTCAAAGTTTCATAAAATTCTATAAAGGTTTGACAAAGGAATTGATCATAATCAAGCCTTAACTCTGTATCTACGTGTAAATTGAAAAAAAGTTTGAAATTTGAAGTACGGAAAATGCCAAAAAATACTTTCATATCATATCATGATATGAAAATTGATTTGATGCGACTGTCATACAAGTGAGAGGTTTAGCGCTATAAAACCAGGTTCAATCCACCATTTTTTACATAAGAAAATGTCTGTTCCAAGGAATATGACAGTTATTGTCCATTAGTTTGATGTGTTTGTGCTTTTGATTTTGCCATTTGATTAGGGATTTTCCGTTTTGAGTTTTCCTCGGAGTTCAGTATTTTTGTGATTTAACTTTTCTCAACATATTGCTAATAAAGAAGCTTCTGTCCAAATTATATAAAATTCCTTGGATGACTTAAATCCACAGACTGAACCTAAATGTGGACACTGCCGACACCGACGACGGAATATAGGATCGCTATGTCTCGCTTTCGCGACATAAATGTCGCCAGCTCGACAAAAGTGAGATGTTAGTATTGTTATAGTATAGTAGTGTCTAGCGAAACTAAAAGGGTTACTTGATATCTTGTTCTTTTCTCGCTATTTAAACAAATGGATTTCTTCAGTTTTTAGCTCAACTGGCCCAAAGGGCCAAGTGAGCTTTTCTCATCACTTGGCATCCGTCGTCCGTCGTCCGTCGCCCGTCGTCCGTAAACTTTTACAAAAATCTTCTCCTCTGAAACTACTGGGCCAAATTTAACCAAACTTGGCCACAATCATCATTAGGGTATCTAGTTTAAAAAATGTGTCCGGTGACCCGGCCAACCAACCAAGATGGCCGCCATGGCTAAAAATAGAACATAGGGGTAAAATGTAGATTTTGGCTTGTATCTCTGAAATCAAAGCATTGAGAGCAAATCTGACATGGGGTAAAAATGTTTATCAGGTCAAGATCTATCTGCCCTGAAATTTTCAGATGAATCGGACAACCCGTTGTTAGGTCGCTGCCCCTGAATTAGTAATTTTAAGGAAATTTTGCCGTATTTGGTTATTATCTTGAATATTATTATAGATAGAGATAAACTGTAAACTGCAATAATGTTCAGCAAAGTAAGTTCTACAAATAATTCAACATGACCAAAATGGTCAGTTGACCCCTTAAGGAGTTATTGCTCTTTTATAGTCAATTTTTAACAATTTTTCGTAAATTTTTGTTATCTTTTACAAAAATCTTCTCCTCTGAAACTACTAAGATGAATTTAACCAAAGTTGTAAACAATCATCATTAAGGTATGTAGTTTAAAAATTGTGTCTGATGACCCCGCCCGCGAACCAAGATGGCCGACATGGCTAATAATAGTACATAGGGTAAAATGCAGTTTTTGGCTGATATATCTAAACCCAAAGCATTTCAAGCAAATCTTTCAAAAACAAAATTGTTCATTAGGTCAAGATCTATCTGCCCTTAAATTTTCAGACCATTCAGGCAACCCATTGTTGGCTTGCTGCCCCTGAATTGGTAATTTTTAGAATTTTTTTCAGCTTTTGGTTATTATCTTGAATATTATTATAGATAGAGATAAACTGTAAACAGAAATAATATACAGCAAAGTAAGACCTACAAATAAGTTAACATGACCAAAATGGTCAATTGACCCCTTAAAGAGTTATTGCCCTTTATAATCAATTTTCATAAATTTTGTAAATTTTCACAAAATAATTTCCACTGAAACTACTAAGCCAAGTTCATTATAGATAGACATAATTGTAAGCATCAAGAATGTTCAGTAAAGTAAGATCTACAAACACATCACCATCACCAAAACACAATTTTGTCATGAATCCATCTGTGTCCTTTGTGAAATATGCACATAGACCAAGGTGAGCGACACAGGCTCTTTAGAGCTTTTAGTTTTGTTGGCATCTTTGTTAGATTTATTTGTATGTTTGTCTGAATTTTTCAGTCAGTTGTGTTGTATGTCTCTGATATTTGTTTTCAAAGTTTTGGCTGATGGATCCTATTTATATGTCCATTTAACCAATTATGTCTGTTTGGATTGCTCACCCAATTTTGTCATTATATGAATGAATGAATGGTTTATTATAGTGCAACCTGCATATATACAATAGATACATATTAGTACAATATTACAGCCAGCCAGATAGGCTTACGATGCACTGACGAAACTATAAACAACTGTCCAACACGTGGGAGGTTAAACTTGCTATAAAACCAGGTTTAATCCACAATTTGGTCAGAAAATGCCTATGCCAAGTCAGAAATATGACAGTTGTTTTCCATTTGTTCCGTTGGTTGATAAAGTCTAACGTTCGATTTTGTCAGTTTTTATGGTCGTACTCATTTTGAACTACCTTGGAGTTCGGTATTTTTGTTATACTTTTTCACTGGCGTGATGATTTAATCTTTTCAACTTCCCATTTCTCAGCAGTAACATACCCTTTGTCCCATCGTATGCCGTTTACATTTCTCAATCAAAACAAAACGCCCATGTAAGTTCACGCTATACGGACTGCATTAACAGGGATGTGCTCCTCACACAAAAATTGTTCTAACACAGTCACGAAGAAGAACGACTGAAATCGACACTTCCATCATTTTACGGTTCTTTAAGAAAGACTACACTAATTCCAACAACTAATATACCAAAGATGATATCATCAAAATGCTGACTTTTTTTTTGTGTCAAAATACCATCAAAGGTACCAGACGTATAATTTGGTACGCTAAACGCGCGTTTCAATCCTGGTATCTATGATGAGTTTATTCATCTCATATGATCATTTGAATAAAAATATTAATAATGGTAAGTAGTATAATGACATACATGTACATGAATAAGAAAATCGTCATTTGTCTACCTCACTATTCTAGACATAATGATAAGACAACAATCATCAGGTCAGTAGTAAGTACTTCGGTACTGACATGATTCATAACATAATTTCTTGGATTCCCCGTTGATTAATTAAGAAATAATTTGAAAAAAACCAGGATTCCAACTCCCAATGGCAAAGTTGACCTTATATGAATTTGGCTATTTTATTTAGGCCCCCTTTGGTCATTTGTCTCCTTAAGTACCTATTTGTTTATACTTCCCTTGTTTTCAAATGTTAATCTTTAATTGTTCCGCATTTCTAATGAAGTTAAATTCCAGAAAAGCGCATCGGACGCACAAAATTAATAAAGTATTATTTTTTATGGACAGGGTAAAACGTAATATCAAATTGGAGAACATATTTTTCTGTGAGATGAGAATTTGAGATGGCCGTGTTAGTGTGAACGTGTGGTTTAATATGTCACTGCTAGACAGTCAATGAAAACAACCTATCATAGTTAAATCGTACTAGAAAGTTTAATGGATGTATTTAATGTTAATGCTTAAATAATCTTACAAATGTTATTACTTTTTTCTATATTTAAAATTTTCCCTATTTAGCCAGGAATATAACCCTTTTTCTGAGGTTACTACGATAATCTCTCATTAAAAACTTTCAATTCAAAAATAAAGTATCTTTCCAAATAGGCAAGAAATAGTATGTATTGAGAAATATTAAAGCATTATTCTGTATGCAGTAACAAAAAGCCACCAGCCCAAAGGCAGACGGGAGACTTTAAATCTCACTAGAAATAATTTAACCCCCATTCATAAAAAAACATAATTAATTTAATTAATAATTTGGAAGACGTGTTTTTCCACAAACAATCGGTATTCAAACGGGAACCAAATGTGCGCCTCTTCTTGTCGACTTGTTTCTTTAGTCACATGAGACTGACTTTATAACATGAGTTTCTTAGGAAGATTAAAAAGAAATTAGCATTATCCTTTAACTTCACTTTCTGCTATATAGATGATGTCTCTCATTCGTCTGATATGTTTGAGCTTTTGATTTTGTCATTTGATAAAGGACCTTCCGTTTTCAATTTTCCTTGGAGTTCTTTAGTTCGGAGTTGGTGACTGTTGAACGCATTTATCCCATTGAACTTGAAATAAAAGAAGCAACAGATATAGTCAAGTCTACCTCATATCTTGACTTATATCTAGAAATTGACCACAAGGGTCGGTTGGGAACAAAACTTTACAACAAAAGAGATGATTTCAGTTCCTCATTGTGAACTCTCAATTTCTATGTAGCGCATGCATATGGAGTTGAAGCAGGATCTGCTTACCTTTTTGTAGCACCTGAGATCACCACCTGTTTTGGTGGGGTTCGTGTTGCTCAGTCTTTCGTTTTCTATTCTGCTCTGGAAGAGTTATGAAGAAGAACGACTGAAAATGTACACTTCAACGTCTTGATGATAACCTTCTCGAATTGGTTAGCAGATAGAATGTTTATGCTTCAACTTACGTGTCATGTTGTCGCGGTCTTAGATCTTTATAAAAATAATAATATAATTTGTATATTTACCGATTGTTTCCTATTTACCACCGTGACATGTTGACTGAGCCTTGATATGCACCAAGAGCAGCAGACGCGTAGATTATCGACACTTCATATCTGACCTCGTTTCGTTTTAATTTTCTGTTGTTGATTGGAATTTTAAATGGATTTTCTAGATTGGAACTTCGTTGCGACAACTGTCTCCTATGTATTTGTGACGCCACAAATTAAAGTAGAGGATTCATTATTATTCACTCCTTAATTTGTAATTTTATATTATTCCAAAGACTCATTACATTGATTTGAAAGATGTAGAATAAATATTTTATTTGTCTACTTTCGAATGAGCACCGATATTGTACTTGTTATTTGAGCAAGCTAAACAAAAACATAGTGTTCAACTTGTATCTATTAATACATATTAGTACTGTTTGTTTTCTAATTTTATTGTTTAAAGAATAACATTTAACATTTAAACTGGCTAAAAATTATTTTACAAGATGGTATAAAAGATGACATAGTTAACATAGCCATAACCGAACATAGAATATAAAACTTAACAAATTGTTTTGTAAAGACATTCAGGTTACAAAAAGTGATTTGAATAGTGTAAATAAAATATTGAACTGGCCTTGTTTTATCTACTTATGTAAAATTATCATTTTAAATATTGTAAAAAAACTTTTCCAACAACATAACAAAATCGCAATAACCAATATGATACCAATAAATAATAAATTGAGCAAAATAAAAAAAAGGAACAATCAAAATAATAAAAAAATATTTACAATTGATAAAATTATCAATTTTCAGGTGCTCTCTCTCTCTCTCTCTCTCTCTCTCTCTCTCTCTCTCTCTCTCTCTCTCTCTCTCTGCTGATACTATAAACTTTACAGAAAATCCATTAGTGAAAAAGTTTCAAAAAATATGAAATGTTAAAAAATGATTTTATCTTTGACAAGTTAAATTTCTTTCTGGATGAATATTTTGATATGCTTTGAGTTCAACACATACCAAATATATGGTTTAGGAACGTTTCTCATCACACCATCGTAAATCGATCTCTTTCTGGAAAAAAATGAATGCCAATAAACGTAATTTTAGATTGAAATGGGCTGCATTCAACACGTTATAATTTTCATGCGTCCAACGCGCTTTTAGATATAAAAAAAAACATGACAGAAAAATTTATCGTTACATTTATACCTAGGAATTCTTAACTAAACATTGGATTGGTCCTTTCAAATTTTAATATTATAGATTCAAAGAGATTTATTCAGAGATTGTTAAAAGGAAATTGAAATGGTCGAAATGTGCATCAGTTGAAAATGAATGTTCTGCGATTTTGTTGTGTGAAAAGTTCGGCTTTGTTATTCTTGTATATCCGCGGTTTGTTCAACCCTTTAATATTCTAACGGTCTTCTTTGGTACCTCAACCTCTGTATGTTTTACTTGACAAATGAGTTATTGACGTCCGAAGAGTTGCGCTGAATAATTACACAAAATAGCATAAACAATCAAAATTAAAAAAAAAAAAAAAAAATAAATCTGTTTTCTTTTCACTCAAGATATACGTAAATCGATTTCAATACCCCCTCTCTCAATATCATTTTATAGGTAAAAATTTGTTGTCATGCCGTTACTACCTTATTTGAAACTTTTCAAATATATTTTCTTTCTATTAAAATCGACCGGTATAGTACAAAAGTCAAATTTTCTTTTTTTTTCACTTCAAACAATCACGTTTCTTCAATAGCAATTTTAAGCAAATCTTTTTTGATAAGACAAGAAGTTTACCCTTTTCAATTAATGCATCATTAAGATACCTAACAAAATTATTCTAGATTGTTTTTAGTAAGTTTATTGTACTTGTAGTCTATAAATGATTTGATTTCTAACATGTTATTTACTACTAAGACGTTTTTCTTTGTTATACATTTTTTCCATTGATCACAATCAATGTGTTGGTATAATAAGGAGAAATTACTTATTTCAGGGGTTGACAAAGTCTCTTGTTTGTTGACTTGTAATAATGAAAACAACACGTTATAAATTGCATGCGTCCAAAGCGCTTTTCTGGATTTACCTTCATCAGGAACGTTCAAAGCCGAATATTTGAAAGCCAATGATGTATAAGAACCGAAACAGTTGAAGAGCTATATGACGAAAAAGGAACCAAAAAAAAAGCCAAATCTATCTAAGCTCAACTTTGCCTGAGGGAGTTGAAATCTTAGTTTCTTTAAAATTTCAAAATTTATAAACTGACAATTTTAGTAAGGATTGTTTTAAATCATGTCAGTACCAAGGTACGGACTACTGAGCTGATGATACTCTCGGGGACTGATAGTACATCAGCAGAGGTATCGATCCAGTGCTGTAAAAAATGTAAACAACACGTTATAAATTGCATGTGTCCAACGCGCTTTTAGATATAAAAAAAACATGACAGAAACATTTATCGTTACCTTTATACCTAGGAATTCTTAACTAAACATTGGATTGGTCCTTTCAAATTTTAATATTATAGATTCAAAGAGATTCATTCAGAGATTGTTAAAAGGAAATTGAAATGGTCGAAATGTGCATCAGTTGAAAATGAATGTTCTGCGATTTTGTTGTGTGAAAAGTTCGGCTTCGTTATTCTTGTACATCCGCGGTTTGTTCAACCCTTTTATATTCTAACGGTCCTCTTTGCTACTCAACCTCTGTATGTTTTACTTGACGAATGAGTTATTGACGTCCGAAGAGTTGCGCTGAATAATTACACAAAATAGCATAAACAATCAAAATTAAAAAAAAAAGAAAAAAAAAACTAAATCTGTTTTCTTTTCACTCAAGATATACGTAAATCGATTTCAATACCCCCTCTCTCAATATCATTTTGTAGGTAAAAATTTTGTGTCATGCCGTTACTTCCTTATTTTAAACTTTTCAAATATATTTTTTTTCTATTAAAATCGACCGGTTTAGTACAAAAGTCAAATTTTCTTTTTTTTTCACTTCAAACAATCAACGTTTTCTTCAATAGCAATTTTAAGCAAATCTTTTTTGATAAGACAAGAAATTCACCCTTTTCAATTAATGCATCATTAAGATACCTAACAAAATTATTCTAGATTGTTTTTAGTAAGTTTATTGTACTTGTAGTCTATAAATGATTTGATTTCTAACATGTTATTTACTACTAAGTCGTTTTTCTTTGTTATACATTTTTTCCATTGTCGTAGAACATTTTTTCTTACACTCGATCTCCATGGAAGAAGAATATCACTGTCACCAAGTCGAACAGTTTCACGAAAATCTTCCAATTCAGTCATCAATATCGCCTTAGATGTACGTATGCGACATGAACAAGGCAGTAAAACTTCTATTTCCTTTCTTTCAAAGTCTTTTTCAGAATATAGGTCTGCCTGAATGATCATTTTTATTCTACGCTTACCCAAATGACGCCTTTGACTTATTATCCTGACTTTCAGTGCTGTAAAGAATAAAAACAATTTATATAATATCAAAAAACTGTGTCATGAAAATGTCATATTAATGTTTGTTTATTCTACATTGGCTAGAGGTACAGGGGGAGGGTTGAGATCTCACAAAACATATTTAACCCCGCCGCATTTTTGCGCCTGTCCCAAGTCAGGAGCCTCTGACCTTTGTTAGTCTTGTATGTTTTTTTTAATTTTAGTTCATTTATATGTGTCGGAGTTTAGTGTGACGTCCATTTTCACTGAACTAGTACAAACTTTTGTTTAGGGGCCAGCTGAAGCCCGCCTCCGGGTGCGGGATTTTCTCGCTGTGTTGAAGACCCATTGGTGGCCTTGGGCTGTTTTCTGCTTTTTGGTCGGGTTGTTGTCTCTTTGACGCATTCCCCATTTCCATTCTCAGTTCTATTGTAAGTCCAATTAGCAACACCAATGGAATAAGTTATATTGGGTAATTGACATAAGTTGTCTTACAATACTCTTGTATTTTACATAGTTTATGCATTTTTCATTAACGAAACTGAAAAAAAAATACAGCCTGATAGATATTTTCTTTTCAAAGTTACAAAATTTTGCTTTGACAAAGTAAGAAATATAAAGAATACTTCTATTATACTTGATAAATTGTTTTCCAAAATTTTGATGATCTCTTTAAGGTTATTCATTGCCTTTTTCACTAAAATCTAATATAATTTACAGTTCTCATGATTCAATCCGCTCACAACTTTATATTTTTGTGAGATAATAAAAGAAGAAAAAAAAGAAAACTGCTCATTAGAGAAAACTTACACTTTGCACAGCAGTCAATGCAAGCAATTTATAAGCATTATGAACAAAAGCAAGTTAACATTGACATGTTTGTCTATGGGAATTTGAAGAAGTACATTTAAGGCTAGTACCTTGTCGTTTGCACACGTCAAAGTCATTTGATTTTAAAGCTTTGACGAAAAATCGTTTAGAAACTTTGCAAATTCGACACACTCCTGAAGTTGAAGCCTTTATACTTCTTAGTCGTCTGTTTTGGAATTCATTTGAAAGTTCTTTGCCGCATCTACAAAGAAATGAATACAATTAGAGATTTGTAAAACAACATCGAATTATAAAAAAAGCACCATTAAACATAAATATTTACTGAATTTATCCATTGTTATCAAAATATTTAGTTCAACAACTCAGGAAATTTGTATCGTATACACATCTGAGTAATGAGAATGTTGCTTAGAATTGTTATTTTCTGGTTTACAGACTTTTCACACCAGTCAAAAGAGCTTTTATCATATAGCTAAACATATTTACGTAATTTACTCGAACAATTAAATTTGACTTGCACAATTATAAAGGTGTTATAGTTATCTCGCAGAAGTTGTCTTCAATGAAACAGTTGCTTCAAGGATGACATTTGTTAGTTTCGAAAAAAAAAATATGATGGGCATTTTGGTGTTTTTGTTTTTGTTTTATTTTTGCATTGTCTTTTGTATAAATTTTCTCCATGTACAACCATAAACATTGTATGTGAAATATTATGTTTCCTTCTCTGTGCCTTTGTTAATTGGTTTTAGAGAATAAAGTATCTATCTAACTACCAAAAGGATCTATGAAATATGAATTATAATACTTCGCCCAAAATAGAAGCAGGATACCAGGAGACGACATGTAAACAATAAGTATTTTATACACTTTTATTTGTACACTAAAATCGATGATTGTATTATGAAATTCTGTATGCCAAGAAATAGATCATTCAATATGGAGATACGAAAATAGATCTTCAATTTTTTTTCTCTGAAACACTTAAATATTAAAATTTTAGACGAAATTCTTAATACAATATTATAAAATGTCTGAGCTTAAACTGCAAGACAAATAATGAAAGGTTCACACCGAAGTTTTGTATTTCAGCCAATACTGGTTTTGAATAACAATAACAATTTGTCTACGTCAGAGGGCAAAAAGACCAGCAAACACATGTGGCACGAACAAAACATCAACTACATATATCACATCAAAAGTTGCACCGAAACGTTATTGTTTTTCACAGGTGTTCATTTAAAGTTGAATTACCTCTGACGCCTATTTTAGACCTAATGATTTTGAATATGTAACATGCTATATATGGTTTTACTTTAAAGTATGAAACGCATTCCATCACTATTCTCTAAGCTTTACAACTGAAAAGTTTAAGCAATAATCAAATGGTAACGATTTTAACAAACAAAAAACTGCTCGGTTATGATATCCTAATGAATCCTGTTATTTTTATTATGGGAAAATTGGAAAAAATTTCAGGACCTACTCTTAAAGAGACCAAAATTCTGCAGCATTACTGAAATTCCAAGCCCATCTTTTTTCTTCAACAAAAAACACTATAGGACAATGCAAGAAATTCGGTGCTTTTTAATTGACCACTATCTCATTTTATTCATATGAAAATCTGTTTCTTGGAGATACTCAATGTGTTTATTATTTTTTGTACCAACATTCGCTTATTATGGTATCTTCATATAGAATGGTCTATTTCGTAGCATACACATTTTCACCATACAATAAGTCATTTTATAGAAGAGCAATACAAAGGACAACATGAATAGACAAACAAATATTGGGCTAAGAGTGTTTGATTTTTGTAGATATGAATAATGAATTTAAAAAAGAAGATATGGTATGAAGATATCACGTTTAATCCCTGTGTAGAGATTATGGGAAAGGCCTTCAATTACATTTATGTCATGTTGCATTATATATGTATATGTATATACATTGTATAATTTTAATAAGTATTGTGATAGTCCAAATAATTATGATCGTCACAGCATTAATCATGATAATTATTTGGACTAGTATTGTGAAAATAACTGTGAATTTTTGGATCTCGTTCCATATAATTGTATGAATTTCAAGATTATATATACGTCACCAAAAATGTCACTGTTTGTGGTGTCCTGTACTGCCGTTAATGGTGATGTCCGTTGTTATTCTGCGGTTTACATCTTGTAATGTACTATTATATTATTTATTTATGCATTTCTCTGTTCTGAGTGTTATTGCGTTTGTTTGTACTGTATTCCTGTCACGTAGTGTTGCATTTTAGCGATATTTTTTAACATTGCCATATAAGCGGGAGGTTTGGCTAGTCATAAAACCAGGTTCAACCCACCATTTTTTCTTAAAATATCCAGTACAAAGTCAGGAATATGGCAGTTGTTATCAAGTAGTCCGTTTCTATGTATGTTGGTGTTTCTGTTGTTCTGTTGTTGTCCGCTTATTGTTGATGTGTTTCCCTCGGTTTTAGTTTGTAACCCGGATTTGTTTTCTCTTAATCGATTTATGACTTTTGAACAGCTGTATACTACTGTTGCCTTTATTGAAAACCATTGCCAGTATTTTTTTAATAAACTTATCTTGGCATACTGTTATGTTTTATTCGAATATTAAACTCAGTTTTATTAACTGTTGAATTAATATATTCTGAGATTGTTTCTATAACTTAATGTTGCAAGCACCTCAAGTAGTAAATATTTAAACAGGTGGACTTAAATTCAATTGATGAAATCAACAGGTTAGTGAAGGAATGTATTGTATTTTTTTGAGGGGCTCGCGTTTTAAACTTATATGGAATTTTGATGAGTTCCAATCTATCAAACATTTAGGGGTTTTCGTCTAGACCCTCCTTTTAAACTAGAATTTTTGGCTTTCGAAAAAATAAAATTTTCTTATTTTCGTCCAGACTTCAAGTATGGTCGAAATGATTGGTACTTTAGTGGATTTTTTTTAAGTTTGAAAATTGGGATTCAAGGATTCAAGGATTAGATTAACCCATAGCATAGAACAGTCAATTCATTTCATCATTCTGTATAACCTTCCTCCTTTTGGAGTTAATGCAATTCCCTCGGTTTTTATTGACCTATCTTCTTACTCGATTTATTTTTACATTGAAACATCACTGTTGCCTTCATTTATTTAGTTATCATTATTTCATTGTTTGACAAATTAATGAGCTGTATTTTAATGCTGACTTTCTAATTGAAAAAATAGTAAACTCTTTTACAAAGATATTATAACATTGTTTTGATCACATCGGTCAGAGTAAGCGTTGTTTTTAATTTGTGTGAATTATCATTTTTTTCATGCTATATACGCGTATAATAAATATTACAAATACCTTCTTTTCTCCATTCTGGAGTAAATTTTATTTGTACAGCAGTGATGTGTTGCTTTTGAAAAACTTCCTACTCCACAGCATTTTCTTCCATTCAGTTTACCATCTTTTTCAAATACGCCTTGACAGCATATATCGCTGTCTTTGTTATATTCAAATGATCCACACATCTTCTTGTCATTTGAAATCACTTTTCCAAGGGAACAGTAGTGAGTGTTTCTAGAATAAGACCGTGGCATGTCCATACTACCAGATGCACAGCAGCTATCATGATGTTCTTCCAATTTATTGACAACTTTTATTTTGTTTTGGAAATCACAGCATACGTTTGCTTTACTGTTGTAACTTGTGTTCCCACAACACTTCTCATCAGTGTATTTAGCTATGATACTGCCGCCTTAGAAATATAAGGAAATGCACATTGTCACAATTAAATTAATATAAATTAGATAGTTGATGGAATTAAATCATCTTATCTTGCAGAACTGTAAATATACAACAGCACTCCGAGGGTTAATGTGAAAACGAATGAAAACAACATAAACATATTTCTTCAACATTAAATCAATCATAAACCGTATAAAGAAATAGAAACAGTAAAGTAAATGAAACAAACATTTAACAAGTATGTTGCGTCCGAATCGATTTTCTGGATTTACCTTTATCCGGATCGCTCAAAGTCAAATATTTGAAAACCAAGGATGTATAAGTACTCGAAATTGCGAGGAGCTGCATGACCAAAATATAATACATTCTGGTCATGTTTAAGAAAAATAATTTCGTATGATAATATGTCTAGACTGTTTGAATTGTTTTACAATAGGCATTTGGAACCCTTTATAGCTTGCTGTTCGGTGTGAACCAAGGCTCCGTGTTGAAGGCCGTACTTTGATCTATAATTGTTTACTTTTTACACATTGTGACTTGGATGGATAGTTGTCTCATTGGCACTCATACCACATCTTCTTATTTATATTTGGTACGGACCTTTCAAAACTATTAGCAACTAGATAAATTGTACTACTTACTCGATGAGCAGCATGTGAGTGTGGAAATATTAAACGATCTTGTCCCACAGCATCCCTGAGCTTCTGAATCATACAATGTAGCACCACAGCACTGCTCTGAAAGCTTTTGGAATTGTAGAGGCCCATTATCACAACATCTTTCTGTCTTTATATTATAAGACCCTTAATGATAATAAAAAAATTATATGTTGTTTTCACACACATACAGATTGCTTTCATTTTTTTCTATTTGAGTGCTCCTGATGAAAAGTAATCCAGAAAAAATCGCTTTGGACGCACCAAATCTATAAAAATGTTATTTTTATATACTATTATTTGTCAAAATCATCATTTAGTTCTGTATTCATTGTTTCGTGTCGTCTTAAAATTTTAAATATTAGAAATGTAGATCAAGAATGAATACATTGGAACACAGAGATATGAAGTTGATATACACTAGAGAACAATTGTATCAAATAATAGAAAATGTGTCATTTCCTAAAGTTTGGTTGACCGTTTCCAGAAAAAATAATTAGATACCTAAGGTTACGGTCTTGATGATATTCAGAAGGTAATTTACCATCTATCTTTCAGTCGGGCGTACCTGATGAAGGGACTTCATAAAGCAAGTATCTATCACAAATTTAATATCGTATGTTTACATTAAATGTACCTTTTTGACAACAGGATGTTGTCACTGGAATCAAGTTAGTTGGACTGCAACATTTCTGCTTAGCCTTATGGAAAACCACAACTCCACAACAATCATAGTCAGGATCATTATCGCTGATTTTATTATACAGTTTCTTCATGCAACATTTATTAATACGGGTGTCGTATAGCTGGTCTCCACAAAGTTTTTGATGTAATGGTAGGACTTTTCTATTCTTAAAACAGTAATGTGACCGTTTGTTGTAGTACTCAGTTTGACAACATTTCATATGTGGTTTCTTCTTATGGATTGCAACATCTCCGTGTAAATCTTTACAACATCGTTTATTACTGCCCATTTTAATTTGTCCGCAGCACCAACTTCGTTCACCTTCAATCGTTAATAAAAGCGAAGTCAAAAAACTTTATTAAAAAGAGGAATATAAAAAATATCCAATGTATTTAGAAACCTTAAATTAAAAATTACACAGACAAGAGCACAAAAAACATATAGAAAACTTAGCAATTCTTTCCATTTAAAATGAGGTAAAACGAAAACGGACGCTGTTGGCATCTGTAATGTAATGTAGGTTTTGCAATACGTAACATTTTTAAGTGATATGTTCAACCTTGTTATTATAAACCCTTTGTTGTCGTGTAAGAAGCAATACTGTATCAAGTTATATGATGACTGGTAGTTGTTTACACAATTGTCCGTTGGTTTTGTTGGATAGTTGTCATATTGTCAATCATATCACTTTTCTTAAATTTTATCCGGGGGAATTCGAACTTTTTCCTGAATTGTCTAGTTTGAGTTTAAATTGGAGAATGTATAATTCCGATTTATGATTAAGCCTAGAAAGCATATAACAATTCCAAACAATAAACTGGAGATATATACTTTATAAATTTAGAAAGATGAAAGAATGAAATCATGGGAATTCTACAAACTCAACAAGATATGGGAAACAAGTTATAAATGCTTATTATCATATTTTTAAGAATACATACCAAGTTTCTTATCATGCAATTTGCCGTTACAACACAGCTTTGTCCCATCTTTAGGATCATACTGCAAACTTCCACAGCATTTTGTCTCTCCCCCATTTTCTGTTATCTTGAAAACCACTGACTTCTCACAGCATAGCTGAGTGCCAATTATATATGTCTGGTCTATTTAAGAATCATACCTTCATGATTATCATGTTGGTAAAAATGTTTTGTTCTAAATTGTGTAAAATTTCAATTTCCTTATACGAAAATCACTTATTCAAGAGAGATTGAATAGGAATGTCCAGAAATCGTATAATTCAAGACAATACATTGCCAACATATAAGCACTGACAACACTTTATCTCAAAGAAAAGCAAAACATTTAGACTAGGGTAATGACACAATGAGATGCCTGTCATAACATATGACTTATCAACATTACTTAATGTATTGTATGTCCTGTTGTTAAATCCAGTTTAAAACAATTGTGGAAGATGGATTTATTGATGTTTGCATAATGTCCATGTAAATATTCTATGTATATTTAGAATTGTGAACCCTATGGTAAACTTCATCCAAAATTGGTAAAGGATAAAACACAAATGGATAGCAGCTTTTAAATGCCATTTCAAAATAAGGAAAAGTTTATTAAGGTGAGATCGATGAATTTTAGTTATTATTATAACCTTCTCTTTTTTGGCATATATAAAAGTAGTCTAGAATTTTACAATATGGACTTCAAATTTTCTACGCTGTCTCACTTGCTTCCTTTTAAACTTTGTTTTGATGATAAGGTTAAGCAAATAAGAAGTACACACATGGCACAGACTGGTGCTGGATAATCGTGAAAAGTGTATGATTACTTTTCAGAAGGCAAATGTTATGAAGATAAATCAATTTATGAATGGCAAACAATTATATGTTTTTTTTACAGTTGAAATGTAAGCATATACTAAATGTGCCTTTATATTTGAAATTGAACATTAATATGTATAGCTAAGTTTTTAATCATGTATTTTGTCGACAACATAATCAGGTTATATTTGAGTGGCGATTATTCAAGTGTATCTTTGCGATAGTAACAATATGTACTGTATAAAAATTATTATTACATTGAATAAGCTGAAGCTATCTTATTGTCTTTGACTTATGAATTTGATATCCTTTGGTATTTTTCGCCTCTAGTTTATTAAGTAGCCTTGTTTTTTAGCAGAGAAGCCGCAGAAAACGGCAAACAAGTATTAACCAAAATATTGAACTCCAAAGTAAATTCAAAAAGGGTAAGTCCATTAAAACTGACAAAATCAATCGTTTGGTTTTATCAACCAATAGGAATGAATGGAAAACAACTGTCATATTTCTGACTTATCTAATGCAAATATGTATTTTTTAACTTATTTAATTAATTAAAGCATTGAATTTGATTTTTTTTTCTAAGCTGATTTCCTTTTCTCTCATAGTTGGATTAACATCAAAACGAAGCAACAGCAAGCTACTTATTATATTTTTTTCTGGAATTTTCCTTCATGAAGATAAACTTACTAAAGCAGCAGTCTTGTTCTTGACCATCACCATTGTATCTTGGTTCAATTCCATGGAGACAACATATGGCGGTCTTTTTTTTGTATTTTTGGATGGAATGTCCGATACAGGTAGATTCATTAGATGAGTCTTGACCGGCAAAAACAGCTGCAATAAAAAGGATAATTTCATCATTTTTAATTTGAATGCATATCTTGTATTTTTGGTTGTTGGTATGATTTACAATGTATTCTAATATGACGTTCTTCTCACGCTTTGAGTACAAACCCCGTGGTAAAATACGAAAATAGTGTATGTCAGATGATCGGCAACATCATGATTGGTTAAGACTGTTCCAATCAAACTCCAACGTCGTAAGCTTTTTAAAACATATGATCATAATTTCCGTTATTTCCATTTTTAAGGTCCGTTTGAGACAAAAGTTTGGAAAGAAGACATCTAATATAATATGATAACTTCGAAGCTCAGCGCTTTTGACCGAGGTCCAACTTGAGTTTTAAGACAATAACTTAATTATGAACTGGAATTTTGATATAGAATGAATCAGTTCAATCATGCTAGTACCGAAGTACTGAACACTATCCGTCCGTCCGTCAGAAATACATCAATACATCAATACTCAGAGACTGTTTGACATAAAGCTTTCGTACTTGATATAAATTATTTGTCGTCATATTCTCTTCACCGTGCTTTACCTGCAGTTTAATTTTGACAATTTTTATGGTAATTAGGGAACTTTGACTCCTTTTTTAGTATTATAACAATGACATCTTATGAACGCAACTCTTCTGAGTCCGTTTTACAGAAAGCTCTAGTAGGATTGTTTGTCACCATGTACAGTTGACCATTTTAAGGGAATTATGGGACTTGGAATATATCATATTAGTATTATAACATTGAGGTCGTGTGCAAAGGTACCAGAAATAAAACCTGACAAAATCATACCCTCGACTATATTAAATAAAGGAACGAATGGACAACAACTGTCATATTCCTGTTTTGGTACTGGCATTTTTCGAAGAAAATGATGGGTTTAACCTGGGTTTATAGATATCTAAACCTCCAATTAGAACAGCAGTTGTTGTTTATAGTTCCGTCATATTGACAAAATTGGTTGAGTAACTCAAACAGGCATAATTGGTTAAAATGACAAGAATAGGGATCCAGCAGCCAAAACTGTCACATACATTCAACTTAATCTGAGCTAAAAATATGTAAACATACATCACAGACACACAGCGCAACTAACTTATCTGCTGTGGGGAGGAAAATTTATAATAGTCTCGATTGTAATAGAACGTAAGCTTCCTGTCTGTTTCATAGACAGCTCTTATACTTGGTTGGGTTGTTTGTTTGTCATGTGTAGCTGACCATACTGTACTGCCAATTTGGTCCGACTATTACAAAGGAATTGATGGCTTATATTTTTTTTAGTGTTGTAACAATAACACCTTGTGAGCGCAACTCCTCTGAGACCGTTATGACAGCAAGCGCTCATACGTGGTAATTTGTTTGCCAACATGTGTTGTTGACCACAGGGTTGTTTTAGTCATGTGTAGCTGACCATACTGTACTGTCAATTTGGTCCGACTATTACAAAGGAATTTATGGCTTATATTTTTTTTGAGTTATGTAACAATAACACCTTGTGAGCGCAACTCCTCTGAGACCATTCGACAGAAAGCTCTTATACTTGGTACAATTGTTTGCCACTATATGTAGTTGACCACATTAAACGTCATGTTGATTGGAATATTTTTACTGAAGTAAATTGACTTTGACTATTTTATGGAATATTGTGACAATAACGCATTTTGAACGCAACATCTCTGATTCTTTTTGTCAAAAAGCTCTTATACTTAGTACAATTGTTTGTCATCATGTTAAGTTGACCATATAGTACCGCCATCTTTGATTGGTCATTTTACGGGATTACTGGGACCTTGACCATTTGTGGGAGTACTGTAACAACAGCACCAGATGAACGTTACTTCTCTGTGACAAAAACCTCATACACTTTGTAGGATTGGTTGCCATCATGTGTTGTTGATCATCTTTACCGTCACTTCGATCTCATCGTCTTCGGAGAGTTATAGAGCTTGGACTATTGTTTTCAGGTTTTGTAATATTGTAACCTTATAAACGCAGCTCCTTTGAGAACATTTGACAGAAAGCTCTAAAACTTGGTAGGATTATTTGCCATAATGTGTTTTATTGCCCATATTATACAAGCATTTTGATGCGACAATTTGTGTGCTTAAAAGAGAGGCGAAATATGTCAAAGGGACATTCAAATTCATATGTCGAAAATAAACTGACAACGCCATTGATAAAAAAGAATATCCCAAGTTTTATTCTGTAGGTCACATTTGGGGAAAACGGGACGGGATTGTAGTTACGACAATTGGAACATATCCGTCGTCATCTGTGAAACAGATATTCCAAACGGTCAACCTCATATAGCCTAATGTCATTTTATTACGGAAACCACCGAATGTAGAAGATCTTCATCATATCTTGATATTTTCCTCGATATTGACACAGATGATGATTTATACATGATGATTTCAACTTTCAAATTGTCAACGTCCCATTTCTCAGCATTAACATGCCATCTACGCCATCGTATGGCAATTACATATCTTATTTTTTAATGTGTGTGAAGTCGCATAGCGGAAGAATCTTACCCTATCGCCGCACTCGGTCTCGCTCCTTTTGGAGTTAATGTGATTCTCCCAGTTTCCGTTTGTTACCTTGATTTGTCTCTTCCTTATCGATTTACGAGATTTAAACATCGGTAAACTACTGTCGCCTTAAGTTAATGGTGGTTATGTTACTTTTATGATATTATGACTATCGTACCACAATGACACACTGTGATATACATTTTTTTTTTCCCAATTCATATTTCGCAGTGGATATTTCGCTACGGCGTATAAAAATTTTGTTTATTTTTATTTACAGATTACCAATTTGATATCCATTTAAGGAATGACTGTTATATTTTTTCTGTCTATGAAGAAATAACATAAAAAATGTGGTGCACACTGAATAACTCGCGTAGCGGGTTATTTTAAAGTGTGCACCACATTTTTTATGTTATTTCGAATAGACAGAAAAAACATTACAGTCATTCCTTATAATTTAATTCTAAATTCCATTTTAAACCGGAGTAAATCATGAAAAAACATTGACGACGTCACGGTCACATGACTAAATTATGTCTATGAGCTGATAAACAAAACATGGTCAGCCAATCAGAAGACGCGTTACATCCAAAATTAAATTATTAAGTAAGAATTACAGGCTCAAACTTTTTTCAGTTTAAACATTTTCTATTTCTGATGAAACAATCAATTAGGTCTTTTGGTTCAGAATACCGTTATGGGTTGAATTCTGTGTATCGTCTTTGTCCTTCGTTGTTCATACAAATATGTGTGCATATGGGTTTTTTAGGGTAATCAGTAATGTTCAATGTTATCTTTTTGGACTGACTGTATTAGGTGTTTATTGTTCTACATATTTTTAGCGTTCGACTATCCGTGTAAAGAAATCACGTCGGTATTTTTTCCTTATCAATCATAATCAAAGTTAAATTGCAGTTTTTCAAGAAGGCTGTGCATATACAGTTTTCAAATTTTGAATCAGCTGAGTGTGATGGAAGTGTACAAAGAAAGCGCGTTAATAATAGGTTTAAATATTATGTACTTCAATAATGTAGCATTTCATATCAATGATAAAAATAGAATCTAGCAATCAAAAAATAAACTTGAGACTTTCTACTAAAAAATAAATATAATTCTTGAAAATAAAAATGATAAGATGTGGTATGATTGCTAATGACACAAACTATCCACCAAAGTTAATATGAAGTGGTTGTAAGCAATTATAGGCAACCGTATGTTGTTTTAATAAAAAAAAACAAAGGATATTGGGTATCCATCCATGACACAAAATCCGTACATGTACAGTAAAACAATACACAAACAGCGCTTTTATTGCTGTTCTCCATCTCAAAGTTACAGTGAGGCCTACAAGAAGGAGCAAAAAAAAAAATCCCAAACTCTCACCTCACTGCAAGTTTAAGACGGCCCCTTGTGTTGTTTAGATATTTTTTCAATTGTTTCATGCAGTTTATACAGGAATGTGAAGGCGGTTCACCGAATTCATTTCAAATATATTCATTAAAACTAATGACTACTTGGAAATTTCTGAATATTCCTACAAAATCATATTAGGAAGAAATGATTACAGTCAAAACGGAAATGATGTACCAACCAATTCAACGAACACAAATCATATGATCATACTATTTATCAAAACGGCAAGCAATAACATATCATTTTAAACCAAATTTTGAGAAAAAAAAAATGCATATTTACGACACTTTTTACGTGAATTTTGTACATTTAAAAATTTGTTTTACAACCTTTTAATTCAATAATGTAGGTATTTTTTAACAAAAATGTGCCTTTTCATCAGGAACGCTTATAACTCAATGTTATGTAGAAACGAAGAAACGTTAGGCGCTATAGGACTCATAAGGGTATACAAAGCATAGCCAAATTCATCTAAGGTCAACTTTTGCCTAAGGAAAATAATTCATTAAATTTTATTTTACAGATTTGTAATCATACTGATTATTTATTTTTTTAATTTGACGAAGTTAAGCAATGTTCTTTTTTGAAATAATCCTCTACATAAAAAATTTATTTTGGAATATGTCATTAATAATCAGGAATATAGCTACACTTCAGGGGTTCTGGGTCAATTTCCACACAAACATTGATCCAAGAAATTCATTCAGAAATTAACCTGAAGTTTTAAAATTCCTTCAGGATATTTAGAAAGAATAACTGGCAAATGTGCCGTAACCGATGCCTAGATCAATTGCTATTAATCTTCTTTTTTTTTCGTCTATGAAATTTTTATATTACATTTTTGAGAGCTTGATTTTGACAACATATAAATTGAAACAGGTGAAACTTTGCTATTAATATATATAAATATACACATCATAGGTATTTAAACGACAAAAAATGCCAATCATATCTGGTCATCATTTACACATACCTTTAAAACCACAGAATATAATAGAAAAACTGATGATACTTATTGACAACATCCTGCCATCTGCATGGGAATGACCACATGTAATAAAACATTTTTTTTTGTATCTATATATATATTTTGTGACGTCAATGAAAGGAAAACCCCATAATATATTTATAAATACAAATACAAATACAAATACAAATACAAAATACAAAATACAAATATTTATTAGCACAAACTCATCAACAATAAATGGTTAAGGCTCATGGTATATTAATTACATAGCTGATCATACATAATAAGTATAATATAAATATGAATGAAATATTTGAAATATAAGTTCTAAAACAGTCAATTAAAATCAAATCATTAATAACAAAAAAATTAACAGGAATTTAACTTCATTCCATGGCTTTCATGTGAAAACTACCTGACTTATGTAATGGTAACACTTTGTTAGTGTTCAAAGTTAAATATCAAGGAAATACCAAATATACCATGCTAATAACCTGGTATGTCAGCATTATGCATATATAATATTCCTATAGACAGGAAAAGTGGGGAATGGAAGATATCAGAGTCGCTATCGGAATCGCTTGCACTATTAATAAAGCAAAGCCATATCCACTAATGTGTAGTGCATGCATCACCCGTCGAACGCTTCCAAAGTTACATCCAGAAGTAAATGTCATAACCAGCAATATGTATCCTATAACGCCATAGTATATAAATTAAATAGATAGCATTTTGGATACACACCGTCACGACAAGTGAATATCAATACCTCATTAATTGAGGAAAATACATTTTAAATACCATTTCAATATTTTGAACCATGAGATAGAATATATATACCGAAATAGAAAGTCTATTTTAAGTGTGATTGTACTCCTTCGCAGTGCACTCCTAGTTTGGATTTTCTGAACGAATTACCGTGTGGGATATGAAGTGGCTTTATTCCAGCCCCCATACAGCATTCGTTGTAATCATTATAACTTCATTCGCAATAACAAAACCTATATTCCGTGAAATGATACGCGATTCTTTACAACATATTTCAGTTTATAGGTCAATTGAATTATTTCTAAAAATATATTTCACTATTTATAGTTATCACAGTTTACATCATCCCAAATACATATCACTTTCGAGCACGCAATGAATATATATATAAACTGTTACAAATGGATATCATTTTAAAAAAATCCTAAAATAATGAATTATGATTTCACATAATAAAGATTCAGTCCACTATGTAATTGGTCAATGACGAAGCACTGCAAATTGACGTATTATGATCCCCGGGACTGGTATACAAAATGTGAGTCTTGAATGAAATAAACCCTTTCCTGAATCGTTTCACACATCTGCATTTAAATGACATATTAAACTTGTGTCAAACCTTTAACGGTGTTTATTACTATACTACAAAAAAGAGGCGAAAGATACCCATTACAACAGATTAACTGCAAAAACAACAGTTATGGCTATTTACTACAAAGTCAACAATTATTACAACAGATGGATGTTAGAATGGCGATAGATATTTTTGGGGTGTGATTTTTATCGTTCAAATGTGATATTTGATGCAACACACAGTAAATTTTCTTACACTATAAATACTACTATTCCAATGCTCAATTGAAGAATCGACTACATCTCCTCATTTAACAGTGCATTTTCTACAAAATTGTAATTTAAATTTCTTGTTCAGAGGTCATGACAATTCTTTGTGAGGAAGCTCACTTATTCCAAAAAAATACACCAAGGAAGAAGTAAAAGGCATCATAATAAGTAAAGGAATGAAATGACACTGTACAACATTTGGGTCATGAAGCTTTAGGGGAAGTTTTGATTTGGTCCAGTTGAAAAAGATCAAAAATGAGTACGTAAGAAGCTGTCAAACAGAATGTAAGACCCTCGTACATAAAATTGTCCATATTTTGAGTTAGAGCTGATGAAATGTCTTTTTATAATTTTGATATAATATGTCCCAAAAGAAGGACAATACAGTGTAATAGTCTACGATTGTTTTTTTGCATTTATTGTCTAAAAGAAATGTACTACGAAATAACTGTGCTCTCGGGCCATAAGCCACATTTATGTACGTGCTAGCATCTCACATTATACGGGCTTCATTCACATGGGTGTTCTCTTGACATACAAACTGTCCCAACAGAGTTAATAGGGCTGAAAATTTGTCACCATCATTTTTTTTTTCAATTTTTTAATTATTTCGAATATTCCGTTTTATAAATTCCCAAATAGTACAGTTAATGCAAGTATATTGTCGTCTAGGGAAGATTTTTGTTAAGTTACGGGTCTTATCAATAAAGTTTATTCGTTTCCCGTTAGAGGTAATTTTCAATGAATAACAATTGATTTTGAATATAGAATATTAGCAGTGTTTTCATAAATAAATGATCAAACTTTGACACCATAATACGTCAAGGTTATGCTTATTATACCATGTCTAAATTTAGATGGTCGAATTGCAACATATTAAAAAAAAAATAGAATGATATGGATACATTCATATGCATGTCAATAATGTACAGTAATATAAATGAATACACACGTATGTGGAATTAAAGTAACTTAAAACAATTAAACAAAGAACAAGTATTTTTAAAATGTGGAACTCCTATGCAGAGATTTATTATATAGTTCTAATTTTTGTCCTTTTTTATAGTTTAAATGAATGTCATAATACGTTAGAGAGCTTATTTAAGAATTATGGTTTTACAATTTAACTACAATCACGAAATCATTCCAACCTCGTTTTTGGTCATTATTCATTGTTTATTACTTCCTCTATCACTTCAATTATTAGGTCAATTGTTGGATCAATGGATGATGTGACCTAATAAATGAAAATTTTCTCGATTATGAAGGTAAAACTGAAAATTAGAAATTTGAATCTAGGTTTAAGGTCTAAATATGCGCATTTTTGCCACTATAACAATACAACTGTCGTGAAATAGCACAAGAAAAACTGTTACATAAACGGAGCTGATTATTACTACTTGTAGGATAAAATGAGTGTAAGATTTCACTATTAATAAAATCAAAATTAAAATGTTCTATCTTCTTTTAATGAGATAGATATTATAATATGTATTAAAATGTATAGATTTTTAATCTTTACAATGCCCACAAGAATCAAAAAGAGCGTACACAGTTTTCTATGATACTCAATGAGCACGTCCACGAAGGATCAATATCAGTCTTCATATTTAGATTTTTTTTTTCAATCTAGCCAAAATCCTAAAATGTTTACATCAACATAGTTGTGATACAACAAGTGACACAAAATAATTTCTTTTTGGCATGACATATTATCAATTATGATGTATCGAATCCTAAAATAGTCACTATTTCACTGTAACTTTAATTTTTGATAATATTTTCATAATTTATGACAGTTTTTATTATAGATAATTTTGACCGCCACCCATGACTTCAATTTTTTGTATCTAGGAATTCAATATAAACGTTGGCACATTTTGAAAACTTAGTATTTTGGATCGTAGGTTGCCGCCAAGGCTTTCCTAAAGCTCTTAGGCCATAAAAATGAAATAAATAAATCATGTTTTGAAAATATCACTTAAAAATGCTGATTATTGATATTGCAGTATAAGTTTTGCCGATTGTTGAATGCCGTACGGTGACCTATATATACATACTTCTACGTCATTTGATCTCTGGTGGAAAGTTGTCTCATCATACCACACCTTCTTTTTTTATATGGAGCCTGTTATATACTCTTATGGTAGTGATTTGTTTAACTTAGCATTTAGGCATTAAACATTGATCCATTTAAACAATATGCGTTCTTTTTTTATATACTTTGATAAAGTTAAAATTCATGGCCATATTTTACAAAAATGAACCTGAACAGTGAAGACTATTATAAAAATCAATTAACTCAATATTACAATTTATTTGGTATATGTTTGTTTTAATTCCTTAAACATTTTATCCACATAAGAATTAATAAATCAATAGATGATATTAACACACATACAGTTGTTTGAGCACGTAATTTTGCAAGTAAACACATATGCCTGTCCCAAGTCAGGAGCCTGTAGTTCAGTGGTTGTCGTTGGTTCATGTCGGTCATATTTGTTTTTCGTAAATTGTTGTGTTATAAATTAGGCCTTTAGTTTTCTCAATTGAATTGTTTCATATTTTTCATGTCGGGGCCTTTTATAGCCGACTATACGGTATGGGTTTTTCTCATTGTTGAAGACCGTACGGTTGCCTATAATTACTTACATCCACTTTATTTGAACTTTGGTGGATAGTTGTCTCATTTGCAATCAAACCACATCTCCTTATTTTTACATAATTGCATAAATGAAGAATGGCGAATTCTTTCAACCATTATTAGGTATAGTCGACTTATTGTATAACACAGACAAGTCCGAGATCCCTCAGGACGGTGAGATTGGTTTATAAATGGCATCTTGTGTGTTTATATGAAAGGCATCAGATAACAAATAGTCCGTTGAAATTCACAAAAAGAAATGTAAAGTATACGTTAAAGTGACAGGAACAAAATAAATCTACATTTCTTTGACATTTGACGGGCTTTGTGAGTTTCTTTCATTTTTTCTCTTATTTGATTGTAACTTAAATTGTGATTTATGATATTTACAAAAGAGAAAAATGTGAAAAGACAGACGAAAACATGTGTGAACAGTTGTAAATTCAGGTATTATTTTTTCAATAGGCTAACATGTTGGTTTGAATTTGCGTGTATTTACAATTTTAAAATTCATATTTCGCGGAAAATAAATACATTGCGAGAAAGCGAAAAAGAATTATATATACAATACATATATGAGCTTCATTATTTTTGAAAATGAAATAAAACCTTATAGATTTAAGACATTTTTTTCTTGAGCAGTTGGAGCCTCAGTTTCTTGATCATTTCTATATTTATCAACGAGTATTTAAGAAAATTATTTTATTTATCATTCCAGTACTGAAGCACTCACTACTGTGCTGATGATACCAGTCCACCAGCACTGGTATTAACCGTCTAATCAAAACGTTTTAATGAACATTTATTTGGAAAAACGGATTAGTTTTCAATTCATTGAAGGCTACAATCGTTTTTACGCCTTTCGTCGAATTAACAAATGACGCTAGTGAACTCACCTAAGAACAATAAAATTGAGAGTGGAAATGGGGAATGTGTCAAAGAGACAACAACCCGACCATAGAGCAGATAACAGCCGAAGGCCACCAATGGGTCTTCAATGCAGCGAGAAACTCCCGCACCCGGAGGCGTCCTTCAGCTGGCCCCTAAACAAATATGTATACTAGCTCAGTGATAATGGGCGTCATACTAAACTCCAAATTATACACAAGAAACTAAAATTAAAAATGATACAAGACTAACAAAGGCCAGAGGCTCCTGACTTGGGACAGGCGCAAAAATGCGGCGGGGTTAAACATGTTTTTTGAGATCTCAACCCTCCCCCTATACCTCTAGCCAATGTATAAAAAACAAACGTACAACAGTACGCACAGTAAAACTCAGTTTAAGAGAAGTCCGAGTCCGATGTCAGAATAGGAAACAAAAGAAAATAAACAAAATGACAATAATACATAAATAACAACAGTCTACTAGCAGTTACTGACATGCCAGCTCCAGACCTCAATTAAACTGATGGAAAGATTATGTCTTCATCATATGAATATCAGTCACAATCCCTCCTGTTAGGACAGATTTTAAGGGCAGATTGTTACCCCTCGAAAAGACATTGTCAACCTTGGCTTCGCCTCAGTTGAAAATGTTTTCTCGGGGTAACAATCTGCTCTATCACCCTCTCAGCTATGTGTTATTTATATAATGTTGTATTCTTTGTGATTTTAAATACACGTGATCATATCATCGTTCATCTACTATAAGCATATAACTCTTGACAACAGGAAAAAGTCAAGTAAACGGAAAAAAGATCCGATCAACGCTAATGACTTTGTCGAAATTTTAACTAATGGATCATAACGGAATTATTCTTAATCATTTTATATTACGTCAGTGCAGTTGATATTATGATATGAATGTAATCTCAACAACAGTTTTTGTTAATCTTTTTTCTGATTTGCCATTCTTAAATTCTGTTTGGCAATTGCAATTTTAAATGTATGGCAAGTGGTAGCTGAATCAGAACACAAGGGCAGAAAACTTTACCAGTATCCTTAAATTCATATACTTCAAAATAGTAGATGAACGATGATATGATCACGTGTATTTAAAATCACAAAGAATACAACATTATATAAATAATACATAGCTGAGAGGGTGATAGAGCAGATTGTTACCCCGAGAAAAACATTTTCAACTGAGGCGAAGCCAAGGTTGACAATGTCTTTTCGAGGGGTAACAATCTGCCCTATCACCCTCTCAGATATGTGTTATTTAATTTATTATACTGAATGTTCTGTTATAACTGTCAATTAAATTTCAAATTCAAAGTAATAAACTATGATGTCTTGTACAGAACAACCATCCGTATTTAATAAAGCGCACACTTGATCAAGCGTCTCCGTGAAGAGTAATAGAGTATTTGCCATAGGATAGAATCGTATTTAATAAAGCGCACACTGGATCAAGCGTCTGCGTGAAGGGTAATAGAGTATTTACCATAGAATAGAGTAAATTGTCTACCTCTTATTAACCAATCAAAATATGGCATTTTGACATGAAGTATTTAATGAATGGCTATTATTTATTTTGAATTTATTGAACCATAAAATTAATTTTTGACTCTTCACATTGAATAATCCGCGAAGCTGATTATGTAAAATGTGAAGAGTCAAAAATTAATTTTATGGTTCAATAAATTCAAAATAAATTATTGCCATTCATTATAAATAAATGTCTATCAAAAATAAGGCTCAAAGAACTTTTTATATTATTTATATTAACAATAACAACGTGGTGTATGAATACATAACGTCAGAGAGAATGAATGAACTGTCATGGCAGCTACGTCATTGGAATGTTATGAGACAGGTAAACTCTTTTCCAAAAACAACAGTTTACTGTGGATTATTGATTTGAAATGTGCAGTTATGGAAAGAGGAGTTAGAAATAAACCCAGACGACATGAAGTTGTTTGACGATAAGGCGGTATTCATAGTGTTTACGTTTGGAGTGTCACGAGCCGCCAAAACTGAGCTCACACTGGCAGGTTTGTTTTGTACAGCCATCGGCATTGGCATCGCAGTCTGTGGCGGTGCGCGTCCTGTGGATAGAGTTGAAAGTGTGTCACTCATTGATTTCTTTTGGAGGGTAGAACAGTCCCGACTGTATCTTCGTACAGACGCCTCATTCCGGTGACCGCTCATATACATAATATGCCGGATTTCGAAGCCAGCGTCACTCATTGCTTGGATCGCTGTTGCCCGGAGACAATGAGCTGTGTACATTACACTACAGGAGGCATTTTTCGACACATCTGCCATGAATCTTGTGAATTGGTAAGATTTGACCGATTTGTTAGTGTACAATAGTTGTAAAATGTTCGGAGTTTTGGACGACAACGCATCTTTATTAATGTGATTGAAAAGTGAAGTTGCATCTGGATCAGTTTTCAAAATCAGCAATTTCAATGAAGCAACTGGGCAGCGATCGCCTTCACATGAATACATTCGTTTGTCATTCATAGTTTCTCCAGAGTCTAATCCGCCTTGCCAATTTTTTTGTTTCATTTCGTGTGATAAACAGGCATATTCACGATTTTTTTCATCAAAAAGGAATTCAAACGAGTTTATCTGAAGTTGTTGATGAAACTCTATCCCACGGGTCACAAAATGCATAGCAATATTATACCACACACGGAATCTTAGGATAATTGGATCATCAGATGAGTACAGGTAAGAATTTATCTTTTCCAAATCATTCATGGTTATAATCTGTTTATGTTTTGTAGGACGAGAGAGACCTTTTTCGAGGTTTTTCTTTAATTTTCCATCAAGAGTTTCATTCGCCTTCCTAAATTCTTTATCGCGAACGATATCAATATCCCTATCTAAATCATGAATGTGGCGGTTGATTGCTGCCCTTATGTTTTTCATTGAATTTTTGTGATACTCTTTTGACTGGGCAGTTGACATTTCCTTGCCTCTTTTTTCGGAAAATTTTGGGGTTGCCTCGGCGTAAAATTTACCCAAAACATTGTTTAATTCCTCTGTTTCAGTAGTTGCGAAATCCAATACTTGATCCAGGGCTTCCATACACCATTCTGAAAAATAACAAAATAAGAAATTCAATTTGATTTTCCAGCATAGGAAAGAGGAAATATTCAATATTGGTAGAAAAACAGCAAATACAATTTATTATATAGATTCAGATAGCTCAGTGGCAGAGCGCTCATGTTTTTTGAGAGGTCCCAGGTTCAAATCCTGGTCTGAATTTACATTGTTTTTTTTTTGAGTGTATAGAACAGTTGTGTTTGTACATTGCATTTAACTCATTTAACTGAGTATTACAAAATCATAAACAGTGTTTCCATAAGTTTGTATTTACCTTGGAAAACTTTGACTCCCCACTTTGTGTTTTGTTTGGTTGATTTAGCCTGTCGACTTTCTTGCAGGTCTTTCAGTTCTTCTGAGGTAACAGTTTTAAATCGTTTCTGTGTTTTTTGAAGCCCAGAAACTGTAGGCCTTTCAACTTCAACCGGCTTGGGTGCCAACGGAATCTGAGATGGGGCTTGTGGCTGCGTTTGTGGTGCCAATCCAGGATTTTCGGGAGCAATGTTTAGCTCAACAAATTCAATATTTTGCAAGTTATCTTTAAACAACCATCCCAATAAATCTTCTTCACTGTACGAGTCCATTTCAATCAGCTTTTCGCCCCCACCGATGTCGAAATCCGGCACCTCTTCCAGTTTGCCTTACTAGTATTGAGCAGACGACAGGAGTTGGGGAGGGACGGAGTCATACATGTACATGTAGTTCGGGGGTAAGATGGGTAGGATAACACATTTAAAACATTTAAAACAACAAATGATTGAACAAAACTTTATTGTTTTGCTCTAAATCGTATTGCTACGAATGTATCAAGTAAAAGAATTTTCGAATCAATAAAAAAGTAGTTCCGATAAAAGTGGGCGTGTCGCCATAAAAATTGACAACATTGAAAATAAAAGTAATACTTTTAACCAATCAGAAGACAGTAAATACACCAAATTTTATTTATAATAATATATAATTAGACAATATACGTATAGATTCTTGAAATATGAAATGTATTTGTATTCGGCACGAAACAGGGGGAAATGCGAGGTTCTACCGATCATTTCCCCCTGTTTCGTGCCGAATACAAATAAATTTCATTTTTCAAGACACTATACGTATATTGTCATTATACTGAAATCGATAAAAAAAATATCAAAAATAAAATACGTAACAAATTTATTGTTAAAAAGAGTGTTCAGAATTTCCCTCTTGGGGTACCATTGTTGTGTGTTTCCCTTTATAGCGTAGTAATTCATAAAGTCCAGACGATAAGACATTGATATTTTTAGGATATAGAAAGAGAAAATGAAAACTAGATTAATAACAGAGTGACAATTAATAAATATGGTATGTAAATCAACAATTTGAAGACATAAAGAGTTTGAATTTATAAAAGTTTGACAAATGTTACTACACGTTGTGATCTAACGGAATTTTGCGCGCGGCCATTACTGTTGAGGCGGTTTGTCCATGTAAACATTGAGGGAGTTGATGTGGAGAGTAGCGCCATAAAACATGGAGTTGATACGGCTGGACATGTTGGTTTGCGAGCTAATGGAAGGTGTCATCATATCAAGGTTGTTTTGTTGGTTGACAGGCTGAGACAATGATGAGAGGACTGTTGAAGCTGTTGTGCACGGTAAGTTTGGCCCGGTGGAAGTGTGACAAGTTTCCTCGCTGTTTGTATTACTTAACAAATTTGAAATTTTTCTCTGTTTGTTTTCTGAAATTGAACTGTAACTGTTTATGGAATTACCATTTTTGTGACCCGAAATTTGCATAATGTCCGTGTCAGGAATTTCATTAGTCCAAATAATTATGACATCTTGAAAGGCTATTATATTTTTTTCTTTGACGCCTTACATCGACGTCATAACGCCAAACTCATATTTTCAATTTGACTTTGAGAGGGAATTTACTGCTTTATAAAAACGTTTAGCTGATTTATCCCCAAGATGCTTCATTTTGGGAGTATAAAATATATTTTTGAACCAAACTCGGTAAAATTTAACGGACCTGAATTTCCGGATAATATAAAACAAAGGTTCCGGAAATTAGGGTCTGTCAAATTTTACCGAGTTTGGTGCAAACATTATTTTATAATCTCCCAAAAAGAAATCAGATAAACGTTTTAAAAAAAGGAGTCGACAAGTTCCCGCCTCGGATGGAATTGTAACTTATTTTATTATTACTGTAGGGATTAATTGGAAATATTTTGCACAAACAAACACATCCAATCTTTTATGGTAATATTCTTTACAAAGCACATACATGTCAGTATTCACTTCAAAAGCTAACAAAACCTTTAAACAGACTTATTAAGAAGGGATATAGTTACGATACTGTTGTCAGGTCATTAAAAATTGCATATTTTGGCTTTAATATTGATTCACTTATAGGGTCTTTGCATCGGAATTAAACATATTTATTCTAAAACCAGTTGTTGGCATGACACGGGTTATGTTCTTCTCATATATTTTATGACGGTATAATACTAAACCCCTAACAGGAGGGATTGTGCCTGATATTCATATGATGAAGACATAATCTTTCAATCAGTTTAATTGAGGTCTGGAGCTGGCATGTCAGTAACTGCTAGTAGTCTGTTGTTATTTATGTATTATTGTCATTTTGTTTATTTTCTTTTGTTTCCTATTCTGACATCGGACTCGGACTTCTCTTAAACTGAGTTTTACTGTGCGTACTGTTGTACGTTTGTTTTTTATACATTGGCTAGAGGTATAGGGGGAGGGTTGAGATCTAAAAAAACATGTTTAACCCCGCCGCATTTTTGCGCCTGTCCCAAGTCAGGAGCCTCTTGCCTTTGTTAGTCTTGTATCATTTTTAATTTTAGTTTCTTATGTATAATTTGGAGTTTAGTATGACGCCCATTATCACTGAGCTAGTATACATATTTGTTTAGGGGCCAGCTGAAGGACACCTCTGGGTGCGGGAGTTTCTCGCTGCATGGAAGACCCATTGGTGGACTTCGGCTGTTGTCTGCTCTATGGTCGGGTTGTTGTCTCTTTGACACATTCCCCATTTCCATTCTCAATTTTACATAAAAGGTAAGAATTTTTATATATGCAAAAAATTTAAACCTTCAATGAAAATTTTATGGCTAAATTGGGTCTCAAAGTTGAGAGCAAAATATGCTCTCAAAGTCCAACCGAAAATGGTGGCTTCAGCATTATGACGTCGCAGGAAGGCGTCAAAGCAAAAATTTAAAATAGCCTTCCAAGACGTCATAATTATTTGGACTAGAATTTCATTTGATCTTAGTTTCTGAACAAGATACTTTCGGGCACTGTGGTTTGTTAAACGCTTGTTTTCATCTAACCCTCCTTCAATCTTCATGATTTTAACTATTGAACCCATTTTTCTCTCCCCTATTTTCTGGCGAAGAAACCATATTTGGGAACGTGTGTCGGCCAATGAAATGGTGTGTGGCGCCAAGTAGAATGGGTCCTCTGCATCACTGAAATTTTATGGCCTCTTTGATTTATATACTTCATAGTACTTAATTGGATCATGATTTTTTGTCTGCCTTTCATTTAATTCTAGGTATTTTGTGCCATCAGATGCCGTGTTTATAGTTACATCTCCCCAACTGAAAAAAAACATCGTTATCATATTTTTCACAATTTCAGAATAATAGTTTATTTATGAACGAGTTACACCAGTGGACTTGGTCAATCGCAGTTAACAATGTCATGATATCAGACAATCCGTTCTTACTTTGCGGTAGATTGCCAATGAGACAACGATCAACCAGAGACCAAATTATGTGTATGAAAGCCTTCTACAATGTATAAAAATCTATAAAAGGCCAAAATGTCATATTTGGACGAAAAAACCAAATGTCTTATTTAATGTAGACTTTATTTCATGTTTGTTGTGTATTTATTCTTATGCATTTTACTCCATTCACCTTAATTAAGTGACTAGTCTCATTTTTGTATTTATTTTATTTTCAGAGATTCTGATTTTCTAGCTGCAAGAATTTGAACACCATACCATTCACTAACTAGTTACATGTATACATGTCTGAATTTGATACATATTTGTGAGTGATGAAGTATTGTGCTAGAATTATTTATAGAATTAAAAACTCCAAGCTGTGACAAAAACTTTTTCTACTATGATGCAAAATTTCGCTCGCAGTAGTTTATTACAGATGAAAGATGTGTCACAAATATAGAGAATTGTATAGAATGAGACGCTATTAAGTTTATTCATCAAGTGGATTTATATGCATGTATTATTCAGTGAAACAAAAGCGACAACCAGATGCAGTTTGTACACTAAATATGGACTTCGTAACTGTTCGCCAGAAAACATGTATAACTATGCGGTCTGAAAGTGGCGTTATACACCATCAATCAATCAACATATAGATGCATTTTATGTACATTGTTTATTCACCTGAAGTTAGAAAATTTGATTACACTCGAGCAAATGTGCAGTAAAAATGATCCGTGTGGTTTCTAAATATTTTATAAAAATAAAATGTGATTTATTCCTGTGATTATTTCAGCTTTTTTATGCTTGTTTAAAAGAAACGATGTGATGTGATATGATTGCCAATGAAACAACTGTATCGACGAGATCTAGGAGATAATGGTGTGTGATTTATGACGTTTGTCATATCGCTTTAATATTGTTCTTTTTTTTATGTTAGTTTTTTGAATTCTCTGATATCAATTTTTTATTGCATTTAACAACACCTGTCTTGGAACTTAAATATTATTTCATACAAAAACATTCCGAAGTGAGTAATGTTCTGAGACGCCTCTTAGTCCAAATTGAACGCAATTGTTCAGCCATACTGTGTTGAGGAGGGCTTTTGGAGAATTGTCACCAATAATATTCTTGTCAAATAGCATGCTGATCTCCTCATCTGTTTCTGACTGGGCCCTTTTAGGTTTGTTGCCCTTGCCTTTTTGTTTTAACAATTTTTGCTTTGCCTTTAATGTTTCTCTGGTAAGATGGAAACTCTCATCATTGTCATCTCCCATGATAGAGTGACCATATTTGTGACGCCTGAGTTTTCTCTCGACACTACTTATGAAGCCACGGATAGTCGACGGTTCATACTCTTGGCCATCTTTTTTTCGTACAGTAAGAACAAAGTTAGAAAGAAGAGAGTCAAGCTCAGCAACTGGTATTGTTTGTTTTTCTCTAGTTTCATTTTTCTTTCTAAGAAACCTGGTAACCAATGCTAGGTCATAAAATGATTTCTTTGCAGTGTTTTTGTTTTGTTGCTTATCAAGAAAGTTTTGTACACCAGTTTCATCAAGATGTAAAAAATCTTCGTCAAACTGTTTATCTTTAAGTTCCATGTTTTCATGTGTTGTGTTTGGAACAGTTGCAATACATGTATTTGCAGTGTCAGTGGTGTGTGTATCACTATCAAGGGAGTATTCAAGACATATTTCAGTACTTTCTTGATCAGCCAGCATATCTATTTGGATGAGGACATTTTCTAGATCTTCATCAATATTTGAAGTTACATCTTGTTCATCTTCTAACATATTTAATGGAGACCACAGGAGATTGAAATTTGCGACTTCGTCCGAAATTTTTCTGGAAATTTTAGCAGACGAAGTTTGGGGGAGGGTTTATGGCATTGGAATATG